AAAGTATTACAAAGGGTATTACATATGTGTCCTTTTTCCCCCCGCCCTTGACAATCCCCTGCCCTCCCTTACCCCCCAGTGTCTTATGTCCATTAGTTATGCTTATATGCATGCATACAAGTCCTTCGGTTGATCTCTTACTCCCCTCCCTTCTGCCCCCCAACCCTCTCTGGCCTTCCCACTGCAGTTTGACAATCAGTTTGAGGCAGCTCTGCCTCTGTATCTATTATTGTTCAAAAGTTTGTAATGGTCTTTATTATCCATGAATGAGTGAGATCATGTGGTATTTTTCCTTCATTGACTGGCTTATTTCACTTAGCATAATGCTCTCCAGTTCCATCCATGCAATAACAAGTTTTATTGTATTTTAGGCCAGAGGACTGTGAAATATCATTTTTACCATTTAACAGCTCTCCAGATTTACAAGAAAGGTAGGTAGAAAGCTCAAAGCAACATCTACATCTGTATCTTTCTTTAAAGCATAAAATAGTTTGATATAAACAGTTGGTTAGATTGTGATCTTTGGTTGCTTTTCTAACATACTAGTGAATAATATAGACTCATGGAGTCTTACAGATTCTAGTAGGCCATGTAGTCTGGTCTCTGTCTCCAGATACAACCATTAATTCATTCCATCTGTCCACCCAACAGCTGTTTATTGAGTGCCTAATATATTCCAAGCACGTTGGATACATGAGCCAAAAAAATAGACAAATAAACAAAACCCATAGTTTTTGTCGTCATGAGAGTTTGTTGGGTGTGGAGTACAAATATTAATCAAAGTCACACAAAGGAAGTGCTGTAGTCTTTTAAAAAATGAAAATTATTTTTACTGGTGATGCTACCTAGAAATGAATCAATGGAATATAATTTAGTAATGGAATTATTCACATATTTTTACTTACTGTCTAATATAAGAAAACATTTAATATATATATAATGTAGGAGTCTGTAATTTTCTCATATTTAATAGATGTTATTTTTGTCATTATTTTTTCCCTTTGTTTTCTTATTTTTAGGAGGGCACAGGGATCTCCCAAATCTGGTGAGTCTAGAAGTATCTCCTTGAGAACTGACCCAGGTTCTAATGCCATTTTGCTGTGGTGAGGGAAGGTAACTGTCACTTTCCTATCTTTAGACTGCAGTGATCAGTGGCAAATGATCCAGGGTCAGTTCTTGAATGTCAGCATTATGGCAATTCCTTGCCTGTGTTCAGTGGCACCTAGAGGCTTGGCACCTGATACCAGGTTAGTAAGTGTTTTTATTGAATCATTAATACTTTCCTATAAACCAAAATTTTCTTTCAGAATACCTGCCCCTCCTTGCCCCAAAACTTGGCTAGCTAGAATATTATGAAGAGGTATTCTGTCCTTGACTGTTTAATATCAGAGATTTTCAGGAATTTGTCCTCAGAGTAGGTTCAGAACAGCTGTTAAACTGGAAAAAATGATCATGATCAGACAGTTACTTTGATTTTTTAAATATCACTGAGGGTAAAATATTCCTTGGGTTTTATTGACATGATTCTATTATGTTATTTTATGTCACTTTGCTTGCTTTATTTATTTAGGTTTATTTACTTGTTGTTGAGAATATTATATTTAATTCTGGCTTCCAATTTTAGTGCAGACACAAATACCCGTAGCATGAAAAGCGTGTATTTGTGTATATTTAATACCTCTAATCAAAAGAAACATTTTTGTTACACTTAATGTGAATAATGGTACATATGAGTAAAAATCTACTACCCACATTTTATATAAAATACCATGAGACATTTTATATATTGTTTCATCCATAAGATATAGATATTCCATCTCTTACACATTCTTTTCAGTGGTTGTCCATTATTGGTATGAAAATTTCTCTCCCTTTTCCTTAGAGCATAGAAGAAAAGATCATGAATGTTGTATAATGTAGTCAAATCTAGATTTTCCCTGGAGGTGGAATAAAAGAATGACTAATGTACTTTGGCAATCTATAACATTATTATAATGATTAGTTTCAACTTCCCTCCAAAATATTTAACTAGAATGATTATGAGTAAAAATTAAGCACATTAAAAAATACTGTTTCAGTGTTGTTTATTTTCAGTTGGGAAGAGATGGCATGACAAGTTGAAGCATTGAGCTCTGAGAATTAAGAGCTCTGGTTCTGTGACCATTTTTTCTTTGTGTGCCTCTGAGCAATCACTTAAGCTTGGGCTCTTCTTTTCCTTCTACATAAACTGAGTGAATGATGGATAACCTCCAACGTTCCATATAGCTCTAACCTGAGCGTCCATAGATTTAAAGAGCTCTTTTTTTGTTGTTGTTATTCTTGGAATAACTTTGTATTTCCACTGAAATTGAGCTAGAAGTCATTCACATGTATTTCTGCAAATGACCTTCTAAAGCTACATACATTTGTGAGTGGCTTTTTTTTGGCACTGAATCACACATGCTAAATTTACAGTCTCTTTTATATTGAACCAAACAGCTATGCAAGATTAAAATGCTCGGTCATTTAACCGAACATGTGTGGCGGCATTTGTTCATTTCGTGTCATCCACCCAAGGGCCAGTTTGATTTAGATTCCTGTGTCACTTAGACCTGCCCAGAAATGAGTATTTAAATCAACGTTAGATTTTAGAAAGTGTTGAGCTGTTTGTTATACCACTGGTACTATAGGAACTATTTTATAATACATCTTTAAAAAACATGTAGAATCCTTAAGTAAATACATTGGATTTTAAATTACATCTTGATATATGGATAGGGTGCATAATGGTTCATTTTATAAAAAGCCCCGAACTGAAGAGCTTGCTGAGAAGAAGGCAATTGTTTAATAAAAGCATTTTTGAAAGGCTGCGTCATTTAAAAAATAACAGCAAAATATGATTTAAGAATTTTAAATAAATTTAATATGATGATGATTTATCTCTCTTGCCTAAAACTTCTAGTAAACGTTATATATTTTAGAAATATTGATATAGAGTCAATTCTGATGTAATCTCTTAATAAACTTGATGTCAAATACAAATATTTAATTTCAGATTAAATAATGGAAGTATGGCTCTTATAATTGCACGGAACACTTCTCGACCGGAATTTATAAAACACCTGAAAAGATACACCAGTGTTAAAAATCAGGTATAGTAAATTCTTTTTGTTACTTATATGCAAAGTTATTAAGCACGGACAGTGATATGTTGCAAGAGTTGACATCAAGTCTTGCCTCATAAGAAGGCTTTATTTTCTTCCGAACACATTAATTTTTTTTCAACCTGTACTTCCTCCAAATTTTAAAAAGCATCCAACAGTACTAATATAGATTGGCCTTTTTTGAGCTATGGCTTGGTGGTTATATATTTGTGTCTTGTTGGCTTGTTTGGGTTTTTGTGCAAAAAGAAAATAGAAAATTTAGTGTTATATTGAAATAATGAAGTAAATTAAGGTTAAAATTACATACTAGGGATGCTTTTCAGAATGAGAAGTAGTGAACCATCTTTAGGTTGAACTGAATGTTCGCATACATTAACAATGGTAGGGCATATTGAAAACCCTCATTTGCGGTGTGACTCATCTTACCTCCCCATCTCTGTGTATAGTCCATGGAAGGTAAAAATTCCATTTCAGGTTCTTTTGACTCCATCCTATAACTAGACAGTTTCCACTGTCCATGCATTTCTACATTCACATTGGCCATCGTTTTTGGGAGGGAGTTTAAAACCCTTAAATGCTAGTGTTTCCCGGGGATTTGTTGGTAGCCTCCTTGTCTTCTCATGACACCTCCTCCTGGGTGATCACATGGCCCCCTGTTTTGAACTGAGTGTTGCCCACTTTCAAGAGTTCTGTCTTCTCTTCTGACCTGCAGGACCACTGTGGTTTCCTCTGTGCTGCGGTTATAAAACTCACAGGCATCTTGTGTCCATAGCTGACCTTACTGTCTTTTCCCCTAAAGGTGCTCCTTCCGTGGTTCCCGACACAGGTCAATGGCATCACTCCACCCATCCTGGAGTTGCTCTGACTCCTCTGTCTTCCTCATTCCTCACAACCCACCCCCCAAGCAGGTCTGTTTGTTCCCCTCTTAAATGTTTCTGAAATTGCTCCTTCTCCTTACTTCAAAACTCATGCCTTCTTGCTTATAATAGCCTTCTTTCTGGTCTTCCTTTTCCCTGGTCTTGTCTGTCTTCCAAACTTCCTTCTAAGGGGCTTTTTCTAAAACACACTTCTGATTTCTCTTCTGCTTAATTCCACAATGCCTTTCTCATTGTCATCAGGCTAACATCTAATTTCCCCAGCATGTACATGGCCCTTTGTATTCTGGCCCTTGCCCGCTGAAGCCTCACCTCTTTACCATCCTCTCCCAGAATTCCTGTTTTTGTCATTGTATCAGTTTGCTAGAGCAGCCATACGGATATTACAGACTGGGAGGCTTAAGCACAGAAACTCATTTCTTCACAATTCTGAATGGGAGAAGCCCCAGAAGGTGGGTGTCTCCTGAGGCCCCTCTTGGCTTGCAGAGGGCTGCCTTCTGGCTGCGTCCGCAATGGTCTGTCCTCTGTGTGTGCACATCCCTGGTATCTCTCTGTGTCCCAGTTTCCTCTTCTTACAAGGACACCAGTCCTGCTGGGTTAGTGCCCACCCCAATGACCTCATCTTAACTGATTACATCTGCAGAGACCCTATTTCTGAAGATGACATTCACAGGTAGTAGGAGTTAGGACTTCTAGATACCTTTATGAGGGACACAATTTAGCCTATAATAGCCTGTTATTAATGACTCATTTCAAACTCATCTTTACAATGAATGACTAGGTAGACAATGAATGATTAAGGAGAAATTTTTACAAGTGCGCAGTATGAAGGATGTGTGCAAGGCTGTACCCTGAGAGGGGAAACCTGATGCAGAGACTTAGCATTTTCAGAGAACTGCTTGGGGCCCTCTGATCAGAACAGCCGATGCCACCATATCACCCCAGTGTAATCCACTGAAACCCAGTGTGTGATACAGTATGAACTGGGAGATCTACTGGACTGTTTTCTACTATGTAAAATAAGGGTGTTTGGAAAATTTCAGTTTTCTGTCAACTTTTAAGTTTCTGTGCTTCATTGAGGTTTATATGTGGAAGGAAGAAGAGAGAACATGTAGATCAGTGGTTCTCAACCTGTGGGTCGCGACCATCGGAAAACACATATAGCATATCAGATATTTACATTACTATTCATAACAGTAGCAAAATTACAGTTATGACGTAGCAAGAAAAATAATTTTATGGTTGGGGGTCACCACAACATGAGGAACTGTATTAAAGGGTCGCGGCATTAGGAAGGTTGAGAACCACATTGTAGATAATATGAAGAATAAGCCTCATGTCATTTATCTGAAAACTAAAATAAATGAGTAGTTACTCTGCATTTCTGCTAGAGTAAGTAGGTTATTTTTTCACTAGTTTCCTTAAGCAAACAAGAAAAATTGAAATTTGAAGTTTACTTTAGTCCAGTGGTTCTCAACCTTCTGGCCCTTTAAATACAGTTCCTCATGTGGTGACCCAACCATAAAATTATTTTCGTTGCTACATCATAACTGTAATGTTGCTACTGTTATGAATCGTAATGTAAATATCTGATATGCAGGATGGTCTTAGGCGACCCCTGTGAAAGGGTTGTTCGATCGCCAAAGGGGTCGCGACCCACAGGTTGAGAACCGCTGCTTTACGCTATTCTAAACAATTATCTTGCAACTTGTGGTCACCTTTAAAGTGGGTTCATGAAGCAGGCAAACACCTGTGAAACATTCGATTGAATTTTTTTTTTGCCTTCATGAGTTTAGGCCTAGGTTCTTCTTAATTAAATTCCAAGTGTGAAATTTACACTAGACCTCGCTTTACATCAGCTAAACTAGGTGACAAGTTACTAATCAAGTCAGTGGATTATATAAATCTTCTGTATCAACAGACCAGTATTAAAGATTGTCTTTGGAAATTCTATGATATCATTACTGTATACAATTTCATAGAGATTTCCTGTTTTGTCATCCAACAAGTTTGGCCAGCTGCTAGATCTAAATGAGGTGGAAAGCTTCAGAAGAAGGGTTCCTTCTTTCAGAGAAACTGGGGAACCCTGGTTATAATTAGTTTCAAAGCATGCATGTTGATATTTACTTGCAAGAGAGCATGGTGAACTTTCTTAATGTGCACTAGCAGCTAGGGATAAAGGAAGCACCCTGATTATTTGCATTTTTTAAATTGTTGACAGTGTTACAGATGTCTCCCATTTTCTCCCTTTTGCCCCATCTCAGACCTTCACCATGCTATTGTCTGTGTCCATTGGTATGCATATATGTTCTTTGGTTAATCTTTTCCTGTCCCCTCCCACCCTCTCCCCTCCCGAGATCTGTTATTCTATTCCATGCATCCATACTTCTGGACCTATTTTGTTCGTTAGATTCTATATATGAGTGAGATCATGTGATATTTGTCTTTCTCTAACTGGCTTAGTTTGCTTAGCCTAATACTCTCCGGGTCCATCCATGCTGTTGCAAAGGGTAAGAGCTTCTTTTTTATAGCTACATAGTATTCCATAGTGTAAATGTACCACAGCTTTAAAAAAAAACTTTATTGTTGAAAGTATTACATTTACATATGTCCCCTTTCCTCCCCATTGACCCTTTCTAGCCCCTTTCCCTCCCACCCCCCACCTTCATCACCCTATTGTCTGTGTCCATGGGTTATGCATATATGCATACAAGTTCGTTGGTCTCATCCCACCCACTCCCCTGCCTTCACCCCCCCACCTTCATCACCCTATTGTTTGTGTCCATGGGTTATGCATATATGCATACAAGTTCGTTTGGTTGATCTCATCCCACCCACTCACCCCTGCCTTCCCTCTGAGATTCCACAGTCTGTTCCATGCTTCTATGTCTCTGGATCTATTTTGTTTATCAGTTTGTTGCTCATTAGATTCCACATATGAGTGAAATCATGTGATACTTTGTCTTTCCCTGACTGGCTTATTTTGCTTAGCATAATACTCTCAAGGTCCCTCCCAAGGTCTCAAAGGGAAAGTGATTCTTCTTTTTTACTGTACATGCTGTTGCAAAGGGTAAGAGCTTCTTTTTTATAGCCACATAGTATTCCATAGTGTAAATGTACCACAGCTTAAAAAAAAATCCCTTCCCTCTGGCCATCTCCACACTGTTGTCTGTGCCTATGGGTTATGCATATATGTTCATGGCTAATCTCTTCACCTTCTGTCATTCAGTTCCCTCCAAATCCCTCCTCTCTGACAGCTGTTGGTCTGTTCCATGTATCCATGTCGTCTCCAGTTCTATTTTGTTCATCACTTAATTTGTTCATTAGATTCCACATATACGATTATATGTTTGTTTTTTCTCTGACTGGCTTATTTCACTTAGCATAATATTCTTCAGGTCTATCCGTACTGTCCAGAAAGGTAAGATTTTCTGCCGCATAATATTCCATTGTGCAAATGTATCACAGTTTTTTATCCACTCATTTATTGATAGGCACTTGGGCCATTTCCAGATGTAGGCTATTGTAAATAGCACTGCTAAGAACATAGGGGTGCATATATTTTTTTCTGGTTGGTGTTTCAGGATTCTTAGAATATATTTCCAGAAGTGGGATTGCTGATCAAATGGCAGATCCATTTTGAATTTTTTGAGGAACTCCATACTGTTTTCCATAATGGCTATACCAGGCTGCATTCCTGCCAGCAGTGTACCAAGGTTCCCTTTTCACCATATCTTTGCCAGCACTTGATGTTTGTTGATGATAGCCACTCTGGCGGGTGTGAGGTGATACCTCATTGTCATTTTAATTTGCATCTTTTTGATGATTAGTGATGTTGAACATTTTTTTCACATGTCTATTGGCCATCTGTATGTCCTCTTTGGAGAAGTGTCTATTTAGGTCCATTTGTTTTATTTAGTTCAATTTTCCATTCGTTGAGACTTACACTGTTGAAGAAGTAAAAGTTTATCCAAGGAATAAAACAAGTGCACACAGTCTGGAGGAGGAGGATCAACCACATGAAACTGCTTCAGAAAACAGTTTCCCCTGGAATGTAGATGGCGATTTAATGGAAGTTACATCAGAGGTCCACGTTAAGTAAGTCTAATTATTTCACTGCCTTCTATGTCCACCAGTAGACACAAAACTACTAGTATAATGGAAGTCTTCTTCCTGTAACTATCAAAGCAAGCAATTGGCTAGATTTCTTTTTAAATTAGCAAATCAGGGAAGGATAAACAGATAAATATGTAATTTAAATATGACTTTACATTTATTCATCAATTGTTATGGAGAGTTAACACATTTTCTTTGGTTATAAGTCTACACTGTACAGATAATGCATGTCTACAATTTCCATTTTGAATTTGAAAAACATGAGTCAAAAGTTTAAACCTTGTGACACTATCTGAGTAGCAGATTATTACAATTTAATCCATTAGTCTTATACTATATAACACTTCGTACTCAGCAGTTCCATGTGATTTACATATCATTTAATTAAGTAACAAGAGCAACTGGTGAGCTCTCTATATGTACAATTGGCTGCATTTTACAGAAACAATGGAGAATATTAGTCAAGAAGGCTTTATACTAATTCAGTGCTGATTTATTACACATCCTGCCCCAGTTTCTCTAGATTTCGTCTCTGCCATGAATGTGTATGTTTTTGTTGGCTATCATTAGACTTGCACTTGGTATTAAGCACTGTACTCAATTGGTATATGTGTGAAAAATAACAGAATGATAGGTTGATAAAATAATCAATTACACATATTTTATTCTTTGCAGATTACACCCAAGACTTATCAATCTTTATGGTGAAAGCATGGAAGAAATGAATGATTCCAAAGTAACATGTAATTGTTTATAACAGAAACATATTTCTGAACTAAAATTTTAATATGAATGGACATATTTTAAACAGATATCCTAACAGGAAAAACAAATCTTTTAAAAGAAATTAAAATTGCTTGCTACTTTTGACATTGCTAAAAATTAGCATTGAGGGTTTGAATATACCAACAAATATTTAAATTCTGGGTTTTTTTTGGAATGTCTTTATATCTACTTTTTAACCTAGATATGTAATTCCAAAGTGAAATAATTTACATCCTTTCAATTTTCAGGACCATCAATTCTGTTGTTAAATATCCTGTAGTCTGGTACGAATAGACCAGAGTTCATGTAAGAATGCCCTGATTTTCCTAATGAGGTACTTGTCCAGTGAGGTTAAATTTCAAAATTATACAACTCAATCTAACCAGAAATAGAAATACTATTTTCAAAATTTCTCTAATAACTAAACAACTTCCCCCCAAAAGAATCTCTCCTTATTTTTAAGTTGTTATGGTACCAATTTTGTGAATATTCTCTGAAAGTTGAAAATGTAAGTTGATTTTCTTACTTCAAAGTGGTAGGGTTTTAAAATTCATAGTTTATTAAATTTTATTTTAAACTATGCAAAATATCTAACCGGGCAGAATCTGGCCCATTAGGGAGCTGTGCTCTCTTGCTCCTGACAGTCATATGTTCTGGCCATTATAACATTGTTTTCAATAGCACCTAAAATGTTGTCATTTCTGAATAGGAAAGAACCAAATTTAAGTTTCCTCAGGGATCATCCTTGAGAAATTCTAAATTTGGGGTTCATTTTCCGCCAGTGATTCTATACATTTTCCTGAATGGCTTCTATTCAAAAAAGTATACTTTAAATATTATAAATGTAATCAGATTGTATTGGCACACAGAGTTCACAGGAGGTTTCGTGATGGATAACTTATACAGCAACTAGGTAGTCTGAGGAAGATGGCTTTTGGCAGGGACTTCCTATAAATATTTCCTATGGAATATTTTCCATAATAGTAAAGACTGACCTCTAATTTATTTATTTGTTCACATCTTATAACAGATTTTCAAAATTTGGCCACCGTCTTCTTATACATATAAAGACAGATTTAGCTCAGTTCAGATGAAATTATATCCTAAGATCAGCATCTAGTTCATATGTATGAATAAATAATTCAAAAGATTATCTTTAAATGTCTTAAAATTTTAAAATATAAATTATATAATAATAAAAAGGAATCTAAGATAACCAATAAAAATTTAAAATGTTTCACTGATCACTAAAACATAAACCATGGAAATTTTGATGTTATATTTATATTCACTGGATATAAGCTAAATCTATTTTAAAATTATAAATTATGTTTCCCCATTTCCATGCAGAAGAGACTGATCTTATAAGCATTTAACACTTACATTTGAATAGAAAAGGGTAATATCCAGTTACTATTTACAGAGTATCAGCATGATAGATTTCTCCTTAATCACTGTTTTTACAAAGCTCTGATTTTAAAAAATTATTTGTGAGGTACAGTTTTCATATTTTACATATACCAGTTAAAGTGCAACATTCACAATCTGTTTCAGAATATAAATTAGAATTTTAAGTACTGTTGTTTTGTAAACAAGAAAATTGACTAATGGTAGATTTTTAAAATTTACTCTGGGGTACCCTTGAAAAAATTGTTACAGGAGAGACTTATGGATTTATACCTATGTGAACATATATGTATATTTCAAAGTTATGTATGTACAGAAAGAAGAAAGAAATCCATAGTTGTATAAACAACAATTACCCAGAAGTCATCCCATTAAGCTCAAACCAGTGTATAAAAGTTCAGTCTGAAGTTTGCTCTTCAGGCCCATTAATCATAGACCGCTGAATGGTTGTTGATCAAAGCCCATAGGAAATATATTACAAGTAAAGGGCTTAAAGGTAAAATGCTTTCTTTAAAAATATTTAGCAGAATTTTTTCAAAGAGCTGTTTCATTCATTAGGAAACAGCTCCTTGAAAAATTCTGCTGAATATTTTTAAAGAACATAATTCAAACAAGTCTCAAAGATTAGGAATTTATTTTGCTGAAGCAAGCATATATGTTTAAGTCCAAGATTTCTTCAATCAAGTTTTATGATTAATTCAGATGCACTTTTATTTCCAAATATCTTCAAGGGATTATTTCTCTTAAATGTTTTAGTGTTTTATATCCATTTAATAACTGAAACAATACCTTTTTCATTTGCCTTAAGACATAGTATGTCACAAGGTTATGAGTAAAAAGTACATAAAAGAACTCTGGGCAAAGCAAAGTTCATGGTTTCTTGTAAACAATGTCTTAAATTTCTTTATTATATACCTGAGTCTTAGTTTTCTCAATTTAAAAGAAATCTTTAATCATCATCATCATCATCATTGCTTTTACTGTTAATGTAATTCCAACTGTCTCTTCTGTTTTCTTCTTGTAGGATGGATTTGTACTGTCTTTTAAAGAAGCCAGCCTGAAAAAAAATCAGTGTATAATCACTAGTGTGCAGTTATTACACTCATATAAAATATCTAGACAGTCAATGGCAAGTTAACATCGGTGATACTTTCTATAACTTTAAGTAAAACAACATACAACAAAACCAAATTTTTCATAGGTTAATTGATATAAACAAGAGTTAATTGACACCATTTGAGGACCTGCTATAGTTCTTAAACTGTGTCCCATGTAGTCAGTAAAAATTAATTTGGAAAATATGGGATTAAAGAGCAATTACTGCAGGACTTACTAATGCAGCTGTAAACCCCCTAAAATTGACATTCAACATAATGTGCAGTGTTTCTCAAATGTTTTTTTTAAAATGAGTTATCTTTAAAGAAGGCATATTTTTCTCGAACTCTGATATGGAAGTTAGGAGAAATATGGTGAAATCAGTACTATATATTCACTTGGGAGGCACAAATTGGCTTTACGAAAGTCAAGGGTGGCATTTTGAGTGGGTTAACATTGGTAATTATGAAAGAAAGGCTTACCTTCCACATAACATATGAAATCAACAAAAGTAAAATAAGTCCGAGTATCAAGCTACTTGAAATAATTGCTAAGGTCAGATGACGTGTGGGTTTTTGATGATGTAGTCCTTCGAGCCAAACCTACATATTAACCAAAATAAAGAAGCACCAGTTTAAAAGTTTGCTCGTTTCCTTTGCAGCCCCTCCTCAATCCCCAATAGTATTTAGAACAACCCATCCCATTCTCTTGCTGGTTCGAATATAACCATAGGAAATGCTGGTAACTGATCAGCAGAAACAGTAAGTACAATGGACTTTTTCTGTGGTTCTTCCTCCAATCCATCCTAAACTCCTTAAAAAGCTGTCATTCCCTCTTTCCAGGTGTGGAAAATACCAACTCTCAGGAAAGTATTTCAAGCCCTCCATGATCTAGTAAAAAATCTATTTTCCTGACTAAACACCCTAGCAATACTATTTTTTCCTATAGTCTTAATGTTTCAGTTTAACTTACGTGTGCAACATTGTCATCCTTGTTTAGTTCAATAATTTTTGGATGTGGCTCTGGAAAAGCTGTCGCTCTTATTTCAAACTTGAGTGCTGAAGTCTCATCCTGTTTAATAAAACTATGAATCAATAGAGATCTTTCGTTTATTTTATGAAGACATATTAACAGAACTAATTTCTCATGATCCTTACATACTATCTAGAAGTTTTCATAATTAATGTTCCACAATTTACTTCACCATTTGTAATTAATTGCAATGCTTTCTTTGATTATAAAGGCATAGTCTTGGTATAAATTAATATGGCACCATTTTGTTGAAAAAATTTTTTAAAAATGTATTTTATTGATTTTTTTTTTACAGAGAGGAAGGGAGAAGGAGAAGGATAGAGAGAAACATCGATTCAGCTGCTTCCTGCACACTTCCTACTGGGGATGTGCCCGCAACCAAGGTACATGTCCTTGACCGGAATCAAACCTGGGACCCTTCAGGCCGCAGGCTGATGCTCTATCCACTGAGCCAAACCAGTCAGGGCTTGTTGAAAATTTTTTATTAAACATAGCCACTTTGCAGATAATTTAAATATTATGTGTTAGTTTGCAGTGTATTTTCCCCTGAGTATTGAATTTTTAACCCCAAAATAAGACTTTCTTCACTTGATAAACCTTTCCTAAAATTCATTTTACTTGGGCTTCTTTTTCTTTCTTTCTACGTTGTGCTGCTCTGATCAAATACACATAGTCTACCTAATACTGTAATGGAAAAATCTGGTACAACAGTAGGTTGATGAACTCAGAGCTTTGCTATTTAATGCAGAGACTTATAAGCCAGAATCCCCAGACGCTAAGGACTTTTGAAATTGTATGCAAAATTGAGGTGTTTAAGTATGTGCATTCATTGGGGAAGATGAGAATATATTCTTGAAGGTTTTAAAAGTGTTTTTGTTATTGTGTTTTAAAGACAATTTTACATTTTAGCTTTATTCAATATTAGATTTTAAGCATAATTTAAAATAGTTTGGAAAGAACTTTAAGGTTATACAAAATGTTAAGGCAGTCAACTTCTTTGATTTAATCAAGGTCTATAAATAGTTATACATACTTCCTAAAATAAACATCTTAATTATCTATTTAATTACTAAAAACCATGTCATTTAGACAATGTATTCAGCTAAAGTAAAAGGGGAGAGATCAACCGCAACCAAAGGACTTGTATGCATGCATATAAGCATAACCAATGGACACAGACACTAGGGGAGTGGGGGGGGGGTAGGACACATATGTAATACCTTAATCAATAAAGAAAAAAAACTGAAACAGTTAAGTTTCACTCTAAATTTTATTTGTTGAATGCGTCCCTATATACCATCCTACTTAGATATAGTTTGCAGATTCTGTATGGACTTACCATTTCTAAGATGGATGGCCGGCCTTCCAGCTGAATGTGAACACTGGCTTCTTTCCCACTTTCCATTTTTCCAAAATTACATGAGAAATTCAAACAATGTGGATCAGCTTTTGTGCAGTACTTGAAAGAATACCAAAAAAGTTACATTAAAATTTCAACATTTTTTAGAAGATGGCTAAAATAATTTACATGGAATTAAAGATCTGTTTTTGTTAGTGGCATTTTAAAAATCTTACTTTAAACAATTTAAACAAATGTTTGTTTTATAAAACAAAGTATTTGAACTGGAGCATGTGTTCTTATGAACCTAACCGTCTGGGATAGATGTTAAAAAGAAAGACTCCGAATCAGAATCTTGCCAAGTTGGATGTTCTCTGTTTATTATAAAAGTTGAATAATTTGAATGCTAGGATTGCTTGTTTTGTTTTTTCCCCCCATAAATTCAATTAACTGAAAAGAGTCAAAGTTCTTTTGAGTAGCCTTTGTGAAATGAGAGTAAGAGGGTATGGAGAAATGTCTGGCTGGCACAGATTGGGCATTTGTCAGACAAATAATTAAAATGTTTATAGTTAACCCTGGGTCTATCTCAAATTTCTAATCATGTCTGTTCCTCACATGCAAGAATATTCCTTGTTTCTCTCCTAACCCAACTGACAGCTCAAACCCATTGACTTTAAGCATTTCAGTTCTGTATGTTGGAAAACAAAAAAAATGAAAAACTGAAACTTACCAATAGCCTCTTATCAGTCCTCGTAAAGAATTTATATATGTCTCTTAGGGCCTCCATTGTATCTCTTTTCTTTTCTGATGTGCACATTCTTTGATAATTTTTAAAATGGCATTCTCCTGAACTAGTCTATAAAGATAGGAAGCAAGAAAAGTGTTATAATTCAATATTGGAAAGAACAACAAAAGCTACATGGTTTTAAAAGTTCCAATAAAAATGAAGTTCCAATTGCTTGATTACCTTTTCTAAAAATATCAAGTACTTCTGAAAGTGTGAAAATATTTTTGACAGATATTTGGGAGAGATTAAATCTCTGCAGCAAAAACACAAACTCAGAAAAATTTTAGAGGGTTGAATATAGGTCCTCAACTAATCAAATGGCCTTAACTTACAGAAAATTAGGGCAATGTAAAAAATGGGCATTTGAGCATTAGCATGAAATTCAACATTTCTCGGGCTTTAGACACTATATCCTAACATCTAAATTTGGAATTCAAGTAAGATTTTAAAAAATTAGAACTCAAACCCAATTGGTAGGCTTATTGATTGATTGCATGTCTTGAAACTGGGAAGGTAAAAGCAATTCTGATGGAATCAACAACATAAGAATACTTATTCTTAAGTAGTGATTTGAATATTCTTTCTTTAAAAAAGGCTGAAATACTAATTTTGTTCCCCAACAGTGGTCTCAAGTTTTTTGGTAAATTCTATCAAATTACTTCCACAGGTCCATATCACAAAGAAAATGTACTGAAATAGTAGAGCGTAATTCTGTTATTGTATACGTCAAATGCAGAGGTTCTAATGCAATGTATAATATTCAAGGTGTACTCAATGAATGCAGGGTGAATTTATAGCTGACAGTGTGATTGAAGTTAACAGACATTTCCATTTCAGCAGTATTACTTACAATAAAGGAGGGAACAGATTTTTACCTGGACATCCAAAATGTTGAACAACTTATCAGTTTGGGGGATAAAAGAATTTGGGACCATTATTTCCACACTAACATTTGGAGCCATGCTAGGGCCTGTGTTGATAACCTGGTAAGAAGGGAAAAAAATGAAACTGTTAAATGTTTTCATAAATGTAAGTACAGATATAAATGAGCTCTTAGGCGAGCCCATCTGTTTCATGAAACATTTCTAGTGGTGGAGATTTGTAGTTGGCAGCTACACCACAAAGGGAGACAGAATGTTGACAGCGAGAACTTAAAAAAATTTGCTAAGAAGTACAACCTTTAGTCTTTACTCCCAGCTCTCTCCTTTTGCTATTAATTAGGACAGAATGTCCAGGCAGATGTTTTCTTGTAGTCTAAAGAAAGAGACATCAACAGTGTACATTTGTATGGCACATTCTGTATCTAAAATGCCATGACCAATCGGTCCTCATCACTATCCCATCAGATGGGGCAACATTTAATTATTTGCCAGCTCAAAAAAATGCTAAAAGGTGTTAGTCAACGATGCGCCCAAGATAAAAATGAAAAGAATTGGGACAAAACCTAGGTATTCTAATTTAAATCCTATGATGTTTTCACAACCCACTCTGTGCAGAGGGGATGTCAGCAGTAAGTGAATAAAATGTATTTTAATTCAGGGTTATTATAGTGCTGATACACTCAGAAAACCACAAAGGGGTAGGTTATTCGGTTTTAGAAAAAATTCAATAGGTTTTTAAAGAATAATGCATAAGGGAGTGGTATTTCATTATTGCTGATAAATTTGGGGATTGCAGATCCCTGTAAAAGGAAATTGGGCCAAAATATTGCCTCCTGAGAGCTTCACTATAAAACCAATACAAAGTCAGAAATGAGATGTACCACAATACCTGGATGAAACAGCATGGCTCACAGACTTGCAATACTGTTCTGAATGCGTATGATATAAATGAAGAAAGTGTCCCTGGCTTTGGGACATATGGTAATTGCTCAGCCATGCAAGCCCGGGGCAGTTTCAAAGGCAGTGCCCAGACCTTGAGACAAGTCTTCCCGATGCCTGCAAATAATCATTCTAACCTACAATACTTTCCATCCTTGTTTGCCGGGTAACATTTAGACCTCCAAGAACGTATTCATACTTACTCAGACTCACCAAACCTACAGGACTTCAAAGTAGAGGGCTAAATTTTTTCAATACTGCTGTGTGATAATATAACAAAAATGACTGTACTCAATAGGATTTCAAGGTCATTCTTCTTCCACAGATCTGGGGCAGGGCCCAGGAATTTGCATTTTGGACAAGCACTCCAAGTGATTCTGAATGCACATTTTGAAAAGCATTGCCTTACAAACTATCATGATGTACCGAAATCCAGACTCACACCCCATAGATTGTTACATAGCTCTAAGGATATTTGGGCAGTACTTTTGGTTCAAAAAATATTTTTGTGGACATTATCTCCAATTATTTACTAATCATCAACATCCATTATGCACCAAAAATATCAGTTGATAGTAAATAAACATTTTTAAGTTGTCTTTATATTAGTATACCAATATTTCTGGTTAATGACACTATTCTTTACCTTTTAAAAAGATTATTGAATAAATGAGACATCGCTTGCTACAGATAACCTATCTATGGCCTGAAAGGCTGACCAAGTAGACCCTAAATGGAGTTGACTTTACTTGGTCATTTTAGGGCTTTAAATGCTTCAACTAAGATGAGAGTTCACTGATTTGCACCTAAACATGCCTTCCCTTGGCCTATCCTGTTTGTTTGTTTTTTCTAGGCACCTCTAGCAGATTCTCTTCCTCCTATAACTTTGCTAGTTTCAAGTGTTACCTCTGTTCCTACTAGCTCATTCCCACCTGTACCGTAAGGAGATGTGGGCTTGAGTAAGAGGGATAGGAACAGTGGGAGGAAAGGGCATGGGTACCCATGTGGCAGCTCCTTCCTTATCCTAACCAAACTGTGCCGGCCCAAGGCTGAGGGACATCACAGGGATACGATGTCCTCTCGAGCAATGCACCAGTCACATTCTTTCAGTTTGTTACAAATATCAACACAACCAACTTTTCTTACATGGAAAGTGAAGTTCATTTTCTCTGTCATGCATGTTTCGGGCTCATGGTCCTCCTTTGATCCATACACAAGTGAAGTTGGATTTATAAACCTAATAGAAACAAATTCAAATTTAGTGTGTTTTTCAGTGTTACAGTCTCATTCATTTATTTATGAAGTATATATGGGATGTGTGCCAGGTGCCAGGCTGTGCTAGGTGCAAGGAGGCCAATATTCATAAGACACATGGCCCCACTTGAGATATGTAGTCTACTCGAACTTGGTTAATGGTCTTTCTTTTGATGAGGTATATAAACAGTCTTCCTCTACAGTTTGGATTACAGCTTATCCCTTAAATATGCTATAATTTAGACAATAGGCACTTTCTTTAGCACAATCAAATACTTTTGGTTTCTTGGTAAGATAGTAATTTTAGTAAAGAAGTTAATGAAATTAGAAAGCCCTGTGCTCTGACTTGGGTGACAGTATCTCTTTCCAACACTATGGCTCATTCTACTGATTTATGTAAATCTGGCAAATATGATATAAATTCTTAGCCTTTCCCAATGACTTCAATATGCTCCTATACTTCAATCTACCTTACCTATTTTTTGAGTTATTTCTTCCCATCTCCTAATTCCTGCTGGCTATTTGTAGTGAACCCAGATCTGGGGAACAATTTGAGCAGCAATAAGTATGGTAAAATTTTTGTTAGAACACAAAGTTGTTACTCTTTTACCTGTGATTATAAATATGTATGGTCAGTAGTGAACTTTAAGAAATACTTTTCTAGCCGAAACCGGTTTGGCTCAGTGGATAGAGCGTCAGCCTGCGGACTGAAAGGTCCCAGGTTTGATTCCGGTCAAGGGCATGTACCTGGGTTGCGGGCACATCCCCAGTAGGAGATGTGCAGGAGGCAGCTGATCGATGTTTCTCTCTCATTGATGTTTCTAACTCTCTATTCCTCTCCCTTTCTCTCTGTAAAAAATCAATAAAATATATTTAAAAAAAAAAAGAAATACTTTTCTAGGGAAATCCTGACTCCACAAGTTGCTTATATTTGGCAGCAGATATGAGGCAATGCAAATTAGGGACCCATTACACAGGTAAGAAATTAGAAATATTCAAATGTAGAGTAGGCAGGGTAATAGTTGCAGAACAGCCCTTGCTCAAAATAATAAGAAGTGGATAATGAAAAAAAGGGAGGATGCTCATTACAGGAAAATGAAGGAGGGCAGGCAAGACACCATTCAAAACCAAGAAACGTGCAACTGCTTCTCTTTGCTTCCCACTGACTTTCTAGGTCCTCATCTCCCTCAAATGGCTGCCTTTATCCCCTTGCGTTTTATATTTCACAAACCTGTTACCCTATTTCATCAGTTTCAGACACTGATATGTTTACTTTTATATAATTCTATGCCATCCTATGGGTGGCTAAAAGTTATTGGGGATGGTTTATATTTAGAGCAACAAGAAAAACTCACTTGTCCATTTTGTATTTATCTTCAATTGCATTCAAATGTATTTTTAAACAAAGATTAATAGCTTAAATAATTTCCAATAAAATCATTAAAGGTTTTCTTAAGACTCCTTTCATTCTTTCTTCATGCATGTCTTCCTTGCATCAGAGTCAGAACCACAGAAACAATTACTAAAATTATGAGGAATCAGTGACTACTGGCTCTGGGGCTATGGGTGAGGAACTCTGTGATTCACAGTTATTAAGAGCAGAAAAGAGCTGCAGACAGCTCTCTCCTACACAGGTTCTAGAGAGCAGTCGTTTGGTCAAGCCTGAGATTCTTGAAACTTCACACTTGCCACAGCCACTGAGTATGATCAAGCAAACTGTGCACTGCTCAACTCCCAGTGGCTGGGCCTGCGCTGGGGACCTCCAGACACGCCCCGCGCAAGGCTGGTCAGGCTCTTCCAGCAAGAAATCCCCTCCAGCTGGGCACTCGTGTGAGGTGGTCTCAGTGACAATTATATGATGGGGTAAAATAAGGAACAGCTGGGCAAGGGACTACAATGCTGCAGTAATCGTTAAGAGAGAGAAACAGCATCGAATCTTTAACCCTTTTCGGTCCAACCTCGAGGCTGACTCGACAGACCAGGCGCTAGGAGCAGGTCCAACGTCGAGCAATAAGAACATTAAAAAGTTCAACATTCAATCCCGTCAATTAATTTGGACCAGACTGTTTGAATTCAAAAAATAACATTGGACCGCAAAGGGTTAAGAAGTCTTTTATGTGCACTGCTCAACTCCCAGTGGCTGGGCCTGCGCTGGGGACCTCCAGACACGCCCCGCGCAAGGCTGGCCAGGCTCTTCCTGCAAGAAATCCCCTCCAGCTGGGCACTCGTGTGAGGTGGTCTCAGTGACAATTATATGATGGGGTAAAATAAGGAACAGCTGGGCAAGGGACTACACTGCTGTGGTAATTGTTAAGAGAAACAGCATCGAATCTTTAAGAAGTCTTTTAAATATGGTTTAGACTAATAATGGACAGGTAGGTACATTGTTATTAACTTAATTAGGGTACTCCTAAGGCTTAGGAAGAGCCACACTCAAGGGGCCAAAGAGCCGCATATGGCTCGCGAGCCGCAGTTTGCTGACCATGGGTTTAGACTAATAATGGACGCAGCTACAAGATTTAAAATGAGCTCTCCTCTCTAGAGGAGGCCTCAGTGTCTACTTACCCGTGCACAGTGAGCATGACTTCATACCTCAGAGGTACTGCCAAAGTCACTTTGTTAAGCTTCAGATGGTCCATCTCCCCTTCGTTTTTGCTACAGAAACAAACAGAAAACACCCTGTTAGAATGCATCCGGTACAAACACCATCTTCAGCGGAGAACTAGTTTTATACCATGTATACCTTATAAACTTGGAGGTGGGTTTAAATAATGCTTTTCGGGGAGTGGGGATAAAAGTGGTTGTGACAGACATTTTTATGACGGGGTTGGCAGAAATTTGCTTTCATTATTCACACTGTTTTTTTCTCCTATGCTGGTTAAAGGTTTGTGTCTTAGATCACATAAGAGAAGTTTTCTCTTGCAGACAATGGGACACTCCATGGTTTCCTGAAAGTCCCCTCCCAAAAATGTCAGGGGTCTGTTTCCTTCCGCACCATTATTCCTCACAGTGAAACCCACCAGGAGGCATGCACTGTGATGCTGAGATCCTCTTCTGCTCTGCTCAGGGAGCTCGCATCCAGCAGAAAGCTCACATCTACCTGCACACAGAGAAGGAAAGCACATTTAAAGAACAATCTAATACATGTTGATCATCTGAACTTGAATGTTTCTTAATAGTTTATACCCTGTGGGATGCCCAGCTGTCTAAACGATGTTCTAGAAACACAGGCTACCCCCCATTTGGACAGCGAGCTACAGGGAAGCGGTTGGGGTTTGTGGCGACTTGAAAGCACCAGCATTTCCACAAGTGACATTCAGAGACAAAGCCTCCTCCGAATGTAAAGACGGCCAGGTCCAGACAGACAGAATCGGAGATGCTTTAACAACTTGAGGGGGGACTCTTGCTAGAAACACCTTTCTGTATAGCGGAGGTAACATGCCTGGCAGATAGGACCACCTGGGGCAGGGCGGGGGAGTGTTGGGGAGGGGTGACACGGGAGCAGAATTCTGATCGACACATTCACGCCCCCCCCCCCACCTTTTAAAAAGAACATTGCCAAGAATATAAACACGATCTCAAAGGTCTCAAGCCCAGTTGGTTTTGGTTTGATCACTTAGCTATTTACCCTAAGAAAATAATAATAAATTATATATTTGTATGCATCATAAACATGGAAAAAAATAGAAAAATTTTGTATTAAAAATTATAAATGCTAAATGCTTACCCTTGAGAAATGATCTATATATATGTAACCAACATTACAGTCAATTTTTACTATGCCAGAGCTGTCTGTTACGTCACAGTTTATTTGCTTCTCTTCCTAAATAAACAAACAAACAAAATCAGTTGGTTTAGGTAGAAAAGGGAACAAGAAGTTTGTAACCCATGTTTAAGGATGGCTTTTGAAAAAACATCCCCAAAGAATTTACTTTCCTAGACAACTATTTTTGGAATAAACAGAAATGTAATCAAATGATATAATGTGTACATATGTGTCTAGGTTTATTCTAACATTCATGTAAATTCTCCACAGAATAATTTCTGGACTTGAGGCTTTCATCCAGGTTTGTGTATCCTTATTTAATTCAAGGCCCAGTTCCTCGTAAAATCATGAGGCAAGGAATCATAAGGTCTGTGTTTCATATCCCTCTTCTGTGTGGGATGTGAGAACGTGTTAAAGGTATATAATGCTATAACTGGAATCATCATAGTATAAATACGCACATATACATATCCCAATATTCCAGGGAGATATACATCTCTGTATGTATTTGTACAGATATGTATTTCCCTGAATATTTGAGTTTTCCCTCTTACTAGTGCAAACAAGCTCTTAACCCCTTAGGGAAAGGGGGAATAGATTTTTGTGAGAGGTCAAAGGCCTCTCAAAATGCCCTTAATGTGAGGAAATGGTCTCTGGATAATATCTGAGTAAGTTTGTGAAGGAATAGAGAAGCATCAAAGGAGAAAGAAGTTGAGGCTTTTGTCTTTGAAATTCAACCTTATTAATACCTCACTAGTGGATTTAAGTGCTCACAACTGAGGCACGGAGGTAAGAAAAGATCTCCAGGTGCTTTGAACCCTTTCAGGGAAGGAAAAACTTGCCTAAAATCTGGTCAACACCAGAATTTTGGATTTGTGGCATGTTTAGAGGTCCTTTGGGAACAAGACTGGGTGTATGAGCTTCAAATGCAGAGGGGTGACAATTTTGGATTTGTGGCATGTTTAGAGGTCCTTTGGGAGCAAGACTGGGTGTATGAGACTGGGTGTGGGAGTCCAGCAGGGAGGACCAATATTGCTTGTGCAGGAATCCAACCAAGAGCAGCAGCACCAAGCACCAGGAAGACGTACTAGTGAGAAAAGCAATGGCTTGGATAACTAGGCCTTTGTTTCTGGGAAGCAGGAGGCTGACTTTTTTTGATCTCGGATTCCAAGGAACTTGTCATTTTGATCAGGGGCATGAGAAAGTCTTAAAATTACTGGAAGCCAAAGGGGATGTCTAAAGAAATGCCAGATATTTAGACCTCAAATTGATGAAGTGATTTATACCATTTACATCTCTAAAAAACTAAGCAAAATATCATGTAGTATCATGCTATTGTGGTTTTCAATACTTACCAGATCTAAAATCTTAATGAGGTAAAGACCAGTGGGTAGTTTGATATGCAGAGTTGTTTCATATGCATCATCTCCAGCATTAAACAAGGACACATTCAACATTAATGTCTTCATACTTCCAACAGCGAGATAGGTTTTATTTTCGTATGGCCTAAAAATTAAGTACTATTATTTAGTTCTAATTTGGAAATAAAAATCCCATCTCTTCATTTATTTATCCCGAACATAAAATATTAATTTGAAAAAAACAATCAGAGGGAAATGACCACATGCAAGTAGATGCAAATCTATTTTTAAAAGAACTCAATTTCCCTTAGTTCAAATAAATTTGGTCATGTATTACTGGAGAAAAGTTTTTTAATTAGTTATAATTAAACTAGTCTGCTTTCTGTTATACTTTTTTTTTTGCCTTCATTGGCTAAAAATTAAGTACTATTATTTAGTTCTAATTTGGAAATAAAAATCCCATCTCTTCATTTATTTATCCCGAACATAAAATATTAATTTGAAAAAAACAATCAGAGGGAAATGACCACATGCAAGTAGATGCAAATCTATTTTTAAAAGAACTCAATTTCCCTTAGTTCAAATAAATTTGGTCATGTATTACTGGAGAAAAGTTTTTTAATTAGTTATAATTAAACTAGTCTGCTGTTATACTTTTTTTTTTGCCTTCATTGGTTGTTTCTTTTTTTAAAATAAATCTTTATTGTTGAAAGTATTACATATGTCCCCCTTCCGTCTTGCCCCCTCCCTCCCATGGACCTCCTCCAGCCCGCCCTGCCCCAGGCTTTTCCGATCCTATTGTCTGTGTCCATGGGTTATGCATATATGCATACAAAGTCTTTGGTTGATTACCTCCCACCCACCTCCCCTGTTTTCCCTCTGAGATTCCTCACTCGGTAATACTTCTTTTCTGCTTAACTTCTTGGTTCTATACTTTTAACACATTTTCCTCATTATTGTGCAACATATTTCTAAAAGCAAAGTATGTTTTTCCTATCTTTCTTTATTCTTGAATAGACATTGAATTAGCTGCTGCCCAAACCAAAGGGGAGAATGGGGATAACTGGAAGAAAAGGAGAACAAGAGTATTGCCACCAAAATACAACATGTTTTGGTGGAAGTGAGCATGGCATGAGAAAGGACGGCTATTCTCAGCAAGTGAATCCAACTGAGATCTGTAGAGTAGAATCCATTTCATAAGACAGGCTGGTCACCTCTATGGATAATGAGACCAAATTAACAGACGTGTAGAAGTGCCTCACTGTGCTGTGAACTGGAAAGAGAAGATCGCCCCAAATCTAGACACGTGAGTGAGATCAACTTCTGGCTCTGGCCCCCGTTTTTCTGGAGGGGGGTGGTGTAATTAACATTTTTAAGCCTCAATCACGTCACCTGTAATAACTACTATTCATTGAAGATGTGGGTCATGGAATCCTCAGAGCAACACATTTATAGATGAGGAACTGGAGGCTTAAAGACTTATTCAAGGTCTCTCACAGCTAAAAAGTTTCAAAGCAAATGCAAATCTCTTCACTTACACAGCCCATTCTCTTTACCAATGAGAGACTGAGAAGAGCTGAATGCTAAAGAAGACTTTTGCTACACTATGATTCTATAAGCTTTCCTTAAAGACAGATGTTCCTAGATATCCAAGAATTTAGAAATAGTAGTTCAACCAGATAAGGGTGTGACCCAAAGCAAAAGACCAGATGACAATAATCATAACTACACAAAAGGTAAAACATTCACTTAGCACTTTAAAGTTTAGAAAGTTTCCTTAAGAAAGTAAGCATTTCTATACTACATTCATGTGACCTGTACCCTGCATTCACAACTACTCAATTGACCAAGAAATTAATGGCAGCATCAATACGAAAGTGTATAGTTTTGAGGAATGAATTATTAATTTCCATGAGCTTCAGAATGAAAACAAAATTATAATTTGGGGCACATTTCTCCACTTTTATACCTTTAGTATAACTCTAAGAAATGGAACCATTTACTTAATACCTACTAGTAAAAGGTCTTCCCCTCTTATCTTGATTTTTTCCTGTTTTAAACTTATCAAGGTAGAACATAAACATAGCAAAATTCACATATTCCAAGTTGCAGCCCAATTAATTTTTACAAACTAAATACAGGCATGAAACCAGCACCCAGATCAAGAGAAAGGTATTACCAGTCCCATTAGAAATAAGCACTTCCCTCCAGTTACCTCCCCCACCTATTGCCTTGCTTTTACCAGTACAGACTGGCTTTGCCCACTTTTATATTTCACATCAGTGAATTCATAAAGTATGTGATTTTTCTTTACTCAAAATTTAAATAATCAGGCCTTCTTTACTTAAAAGTTTGTTTGTAAAATTAATCTATATTGACTTGTGAATTGTTTATTCTCACTGATATATATATACATATATATACATATGAGGCCTGGTGCATGAAATTCATGCACGGGGAAGTGGGGGAGTCCCCTCAGCCCAGACTGCACCCTTTCCAATCCAGGACCGAGCGAGGAGCTAAGCCCCTCGCCCGCCCAACCGGCCCCGTCTGGTGAAGAGCGAAGGCCTGGGTTCCAGGCGCTGTGGGAAAACTGGTGCCAGCAGCCAGGGGCCGCCATCTTGGCTGACAGTTAATTTGCATAAGGATATGCTGATTAGCCAATGGGAAGGGTAGCTCGTACGCCAATTACCATGTTTCTCTTTTATTAGTGTAGATTCCATTTTGTAAATATACAACATTTTACTTATCCATTCACATTGTATTTATCCATTCAACTATCCGGCAATTTCTAGTTTGGCTCGATTACAGTCTCTTGGTGAACATATCTATGTAATTCTGTTGGGTCTCTCTAAGAGCAGACCCTTATGGTTTGTAACCCAGAATTAATTCCTTAAAATGCTACATCTTGGCTTATTTTAGCAACCAGCTTAAATTATACTAACTGTATTTAAATAACAAAATATACCATAAGGAACTATATTTAAGTAACCCAAAATAAAGATATACTACAGAACTCTCATATAAAAAGCAAGCATACTATGAGCAGGGGTTCAAAAACTGCTGCCAGAAGGCCCAGTTCAGACCTCTGCCTGGTTTTGTAAATAGCGGCTTCATGGAACGCAGCCACGCTCGTTCATCTGTGGCCGCTTTTACACGACGGATGCCAGCAGAGTTGAGTAGCTGAGCGAGATCTCCGTCCCACAAAGCCTAAAACAGTCACTATCTGTCCCTTGATGGAAAAAAGTGTGCCAGCTTCTGCCATTGAGCAGTCTGATGGATAAGTGTAATTAATAAGCATACAAAATAATATCACTGTGTTTAAAATCTATTCTGTGTTATTCTGACAACCACAGAGGCTCACTTCAAACAGCCTGGGATACAGAATTAGAGAAAATGCCTCTCTAGGCCTCACAGTTCCTTGGCTGGTCCCGGAGGCATCAAGGAGAAAGGAATGAAGAACGTGCCCACGTGCAGCCTCCCCAGCTCCTGACCCCTGGCGAGAAGCTGGATGTTTCGGGAAGGATGTGCAGTGACTAACAAAGCCGTCATTCTAAACCTTTTCAGGGTGGAACAATCTGACTCCGTGACGGCGTGTTTTAGAGAAGGGCTGTGATTCACCCATTCCTGTGTGGTAAACCGTGTTACATAAGCACGCATCTGCTTGGTGGCACCGTGCTAACCGGCAGAGAAGAAATGCGCAGGAACATGGCCGTCCTGCATTCCCCCCGCTGTTCTCTAATCATGTTACAACGGAAGGAGCCTAGGAGGTTCTAAAAGTGAACTTCAGCTTGACATTAAAGTTTAATTAAGACTTGAAGAAGAGCTGCCTAGAAATAGACGTTTGTAAAATATTCTGGCACGTAACCAAAGCATTAGTCACCGAACACCTTTGGGAAAGGAGCTGGCACTTAGACAAGCAACAGAAGGTGAAAGCGTTGCATAAACAGCCAGGTTCCCAGACAACAGCAAATTAAAGAGAAACACAATGTTCACATTTCAGCAGCCAGACTCCTGGTTTAGTTTCCATTTTTAAGCTATTTTGTCACATAGTCATAATTATGATTCTACTCTTTTTGTGAAAATATACATCATGTTGTATCTTGATTCATTAACAAGGTGCCGTCGGAATGATACCCACCAGCTTTGTATGGGAGACATAACAAAGGACCAGGTGCACATCTGCAAGTGCGACAAGGCTGCACCAGAGCTCTCCCCAGAAATCAGAGTTCATTTTTCATTAGAACACGCATAATGCAGACTTGAAATTTACCAAGCAGCCTAGAATCCATGGAATTTAAACAAATCAAGGTACTGTGTACATAGAGAATCACAACTTAATAAGTGAGAGAGGAAAAATAGAAAAATGATGTATTTTAGCACCAAGCACTATGTTTTTCTTGAGTGAATGACATTGTTTTATTTTTCAAGAAATGCACCCCAAGTCTTAGTCTAATGAATGTACTTTGCCTAGATAACACAAATTAGTGCCTTCCCGGCTAACGTTTTTTAAGATGGTAGGATAAAGTATAATGTAAGCTGATATGTACCTGTGTCCAGATGCATGAGTCACTTATTTGACAACATGTAGCCTGCTGCAGATGGCTTGCAGGTCCAACAGATCTTAGTATAATAAGAAACCCTTGAAGCCCCTTTAATAAACAACATTTCTGGCCTGGTCCTCATCGCTTCTAATTTGGATGGTCTGGGGGTCTAGGAAACCTGCATTTCTAAGTGATTCTCGTAAAAGTGACTCAAAGGCCACAGCTTGAGAAACACGGCTGTACCCTCAGTTGCCTGCCATTTAAAATTATAATGGACTTGATATTTAGATGTTAAGAAATAGTATCATTTCAAATTAATGATGCAAATTAACCATAATGTAATAGCTTATTGTGAAAAAATACATAATGAATAAAAAATAACAATTCGATTATATTAATATTGACCTCTTAATTCAAGATGTATTTTCATTATTCCGAAAAGAAGCATTCTTGGTAAATTTCTGTACAAATTTTAATGTCCCATTTTCTAATAGGTCAGAGGGATTTGCAATGAAAGATGACAAAGGTGACAGTGGGAGTTTCTGATTTAAGAAAATAAAACACTACTATTTGTAGCTGAGATAAGCTTTCCCACACACAACTCTACTTATCAAAGGCCCATGGCAGCAAAAACACTAAGAACACTAAGCATTTTAGGAAGAAAATAAATACACAAATGGGAAGGCTATACATTTTTCAGCTAATACATCAACAAAGGCAGCACACTACATGCTGGGGTGCAAAGTAGTTAGTAGTCACTGTTTTTGGACTAGAAGAACAGCCAATCTGGATAATTAAGTATAAAGTCCAATTATTAATCAAATAGGTTAGGGCTTCTTGGCCCTCAATTGTGGATGCTCAAGGCTATACTGGCATTGCTTAAGTGAAAAGAATTAATTTATTCTCTGCCATATGTGTTCCTACCCAGCAGGGTACTCAACACTGTTTTTGAACCTTTTCACTCATTCCTAGTTGACTTCCTATCCCATTTATCATAATAGCTATTTTGAGCTTTTTCCCCCATGCCTTTCACGTTCCCAGATCTATCCTAAAGACCCCCACTTTCCATAGATGAGCCTACTTTTTTGTATTCTGGCCATCCATGAATTCTCTACATTTTATTTCCTTCCACACTGAGTTTCTTAATTAATGTCAAACATCTTTTCATACCTGTTCAGCTCAAGATAAGGACAATTTTAATTTCTTCCTAAAGCTAACTCCTCCACTTGAGTCGATCTCATTATATACTGTTGTTTTTTTAGAACCTTGTTCCATTCTCAGCAAACACCTATTAGTCACTGACAGTGTTCCAGATATTGTTTGGGGCAAAGTCAACACAAAGATGAAAAGACAGGAACCTGCCTTGAAGCAGCTTCCAGGATGGCGTGGAGACAGACAATAATGGTAGTGAGTGGCAAGTGCAGTGGGACTAGGGGCACAGGAGGACTTAGGTTTATGTACCTGGAGACAAAAGGGACTTCACCTAGGAAACAGCTGAGATTTGCAAGATAAATAAAAATTAATCAAGTAGATACGTTGGAGAAGTGAAACCAAGAAGTGAAACCATTCAGAGTTCGGGAGAGCAAGGTGTGGCAAAGCAACTCTAAGTCCCAGGGAGTTGGTGAGAAAACACTAAGGAGTTTAGAGTTTAGGTTATAATGAACCAGTGAAACACTGTTATCGGAGGTGTATGTGAGAAAGCTCACTCTGGAAACATCATGGTAGAGGGATTAAAATAATGTTAAAATAGGAGACCAGTAGTTGAGAAAGCAGGAAAGCCTGTGAGCTATGTAGAATATTCAGTGCTTGGCATGAAGCAATAGCAGTAGAGACAGAATTATGATGAAAAAAACCCCCATCAATAACATCTATGTGGTTATTATAGGACTTACTAACTTATTGAATAGTAGGGTTAAGAAAGGGGGAAGAATGCAGATTGAGCTCCAGAGGACATGTCCAATAGACAACTGGATGTGTGGGTGTGGAACTCAGAGACACTGATTTGGGCATTCGCAGTGTAGGCAGACCAGGTGAGGTCACAGTTGTAGGTAAGATAGCCAGGGAAAATATGGGAGTGTGAGAAAGGGGTGAGAAAACCATTGGGGAATCAATAGAGCCCAAATCAAATATCTCCAAAGACAATTGAGAAGGAGAGGCTAGAAAAGGAGAAGGGAGTAGGGTGTCATCATGGAAATTAAAGCAAAAGACATTCAAAAGAGGAAGTGAAAAGCTGTCAAATGCTTCAGAGAGTTCAAATAGGTACAAAAAGTGCCCCTTGGATTTAAGTAGAAAAATTCTCTCTCCAATTTCTTTCTTTCCCTGCCTCTGCATGATTAAGTAACATGATAAAGCCACTTGTTCCCAGTATATTTTCTTCCCTAAGCCCTTTCCCTGTCATTCAGCTACTACTAGACTGAAATTTCCATCTTACAAATTGCCACTGATATTTTTTCCACAAGTCACATTTTAAATGCCAACTCCCATGAGCTTTCTCAGTCATTATGCTATCTGGTCTCTCCACAAATTTTACAATATGAAGTCCCTCTTTTTATAGTGGCTATTTCACAGTGTACTCAGTTTTCCTCTTAGTTCTCTTCAGTGTCCTACAGGGACTCCCTATTTGTGTTAAGCTCTTTAAATAAAACTGTCCCCCCAAGAGTTAATCTTTAGTTCTTTTCTCTGTGAAGTGCACAATTCACCTCCTCCACCCCCAAGCATTCTCACAAGTCAGGAATGTGTAGAGCACTTCACAGTATTCCTGGAGAGCTGAAGTCCCACCAAATGCAACATGCCCCCATTAAACGTGCTGCCTTTGTAGACTTACCTCCCAATATAATTTCCCATTTTTTCTGTCCTGTCACTGATGCCTCTTTCTCCTCCTTCATTTCCCAGACATCGTCATCCCTCAACCTGCGCCGTGCATTCTATCCCTGATCCTCATTTTCATGTCTGCCCTCTGATATGCAAAATAATTTCAACATAGGGGATCTAACATGACAAAATGATAATGGTTTATTTCCCATAATAAAATAATGACAGCAGTCAACAGTTTTCTAGTGTTCTCTACATGTTAGCTACTATTCTAAGCACATTGCATAAGTTTTCTTCTGTTTCCCCTTCTCTGAATTTAGAAGAACAAGAGGGTTTATTCCCTCTCAAAGGTGTCATATATATTTAGGAATTTCTTTGTTTTATACATCAGTCTGAACTATGTAATCATTTTTCTGAGTGACACAAAACTAAGCATCATGTAGTGAAGGTTAGCTCATTTTGCCATCAAAACTCTAGTAGTAAGAGGCACTGACAAATGTCTAAAACACGACTAAAATTCTAATGAGGATGACTTGAGCAGTCAAATCCTAAAATATCTCTTTAGGTACCAACAAAAGATTAAGACATGCTTCATAAAGCCTTGGTGTTCACATATTCTTGTTCTTTCGAAAAGTGATAATCTCTCTCAGTTGAATCCTGTTCTTTTCCAGTTCTTTAAATGCTGCTAACCCCCAAGTATTAGTTCTTAGGCATTTTCTCTTTGAAAACCACATGCACACCCATGATCCCATCTTGATGAATAACAAAGAGTAAACTAGACTTACTTCAAAAATCCAATTTTCCCAGAAACTTGTAAATCAGCAGAACAATTTTCATGGGCACAAAACCTTGCAAAGTTTATCTGGAAATAAAATATGACAGTATTTTATTGTTAGTTCAGTTAGTAGGCATATTTCTGTTTTTTTAAAAATAGACATCTATGATACATGAGAAGAATAAAATTAATAAATCAGATTGATAACTCGTTTTATCATTTTTTGAGGAGTTCAATATGAGAATTAATTAGTAGGTTTAAATGAAAAATAATTATTGGACTAAAAGAACTAAGTTCTTCTAATAGGCAAATTTAAAAACTAAATTTGTTAGGTGGGAAAAAGGATGTTTTTCTTTCATAATAGTTGTAAGAAAAATTTTTAAACCAAACTTTGGTGGTAATCTATGTAAGTATTTAAAACCCATGCTGCCGAGATGTTCTTTGTCAGGTTCTTCTTAATTTTCTGATGCTTTGATTCCACTTACTATGTATGGGCCTGGCACTTAATTTTGCAGCGATTTTATGTTTGTTGAAAAGAAACAAATTGTAGAAATTTAGAAATTTCACCTTAAGAACACATTGAACAAAAGTAAATGATAGCATATCATACCTCTGAGCATTTTAATAGGACCAGGAGATACTATAAGGTACATGGAAGACCTGAGTTTAAAAAGTTAGACAAAGAAAAAACGTAGAAAGAGCAGGGAGGGGTGGGGGGGAAGAAAAATGAGAGGCAAAGGTGAAAAACAATGAGATGCAGAAAAGAAAGAAATCTGGAAACTCAGAGAAATGAGCCAGGTACATGAAATGGCAAAGGACTAGAGTGTTGTCAAATTGCATGTCAGATCACAGACTGCCTATACAGGGGCAGCACAAGGAGAGTGTCAATCTTTCTCTAAATGATTAGGTAAATACGATTTTTTCTATCACTCTTACTTATAAAACAGGTTGTTATAAGAGTTAAAATGTTAATTATTATAACTACAAACTGTTTAGGTTTTGGCTTGTGCACTTACAATAAAACACATTTAAAGGTACTTGCTATTGAAAAGTGAAGTCAAACAGAAGACTGAAAAAACTAACTTCTAGAAATATTTTTATATATGGGTATAAAGAAAATTTGCTCTTAAGCTATTATCTTTATTCAATCTAATATTGTAGACTAGACATTGGTGATTGTAAGCTCAAATTTCAAAGTGACTTAGGGGCAATTTTGTTGGGACAGGAAATGAACTAGACCTTAAAACGTCCCTTTAAAAAAATATATATATTTAATTGATTTTTTACAGAGGACAGGAGAGAGACTGAGAGAGAACATCGATCTGCTGCCTCCTGCACACCTCCTACTGGGGATGTGTCCCCAACCAAGGTACATGCCCTTGACCGGAATTGAACCTGGGACCCTTCAGTCCACAGGCTGTAAAACGTCCCTTTTATCTTTTACACTCTGTGTGCCATTAGCGAACATTTTAATGAATGTTTTTACCATGTCCCCAAACATCCTGTTGACTATGTCTTTGTGTCATTGGATAGAAAAGTTATGAACAACTGGACTCCCAGAAATACACACTCGGTCAGTGAATCTGATATATTTTGAGATAAACTGGAAAAAGCAGTTCACTGGTTAGAATGCAGGATCCATCCCAAAATGCAGCCAGTGCTGGGATGGGACTAGAAACCATACAGTTAAATTTTAAAAGAGAAACTATTGTGTAACATAAATACATATGCCTATAAATGAGCAAAACCCAGCAAGGGAATTAGACTAACAAGACATGAGTGATTCATGGGTGGGGTGAGTGAGAGGGAGACACAAATGGGAGAGAAGAGACAGAAAAAGAGGAAGATAAACTAAACACACATGATAACACAGAATAACCAACTCATGAACGCAACTCACTCCCACTATGAGTGCTCTCTAGTAATATACTTTCTTTCCTGGCAAGACATCGAGAGAAAATTAACATTTTATGTAGTATACTAGAGGCCTGGTGCATGAAAGTCATGCACTTGGGGTGGGGGGGCGCACGTCCTTCAGCCCAGCCTGCACCCTCTTGCAGTTCGGGAGCCCTCGGGGGATGTCCGACTGCTGGCTTAGGCTCGCTCCACCACTGCTGGGCTGGCCAGCTGTGAGCCGGGCTTCTGGCTGAGCAGTGCTCCTGCTGTGGGAGTGCACTGAGCACCAGGGGGCAGCTCCTCTATTGAGCGTCTGACCCCTGGTGGTCAGTTTGCGTCATAGCGACTAGTCATTCTGCTGGTTGATTTGCATATTAGCCTTTTATTATATAGGATGAGAAACCACTGCTATGACTAAATGCACATTTTAAAATATCCAGTTCAATATCCTGAAGGAAATATAAAAAATAAAAATGAAAATGAAAAACAAGACATACCATAAATCTTTTTATACAAAAGTTTTATACAATTTAAAAAAAAATAGTTCATTTTCCTAGAATTATGTAATACTTCAAAAAAAGGAAATATAAAAAATAAAAATGAAAATGAAAAACAAGATATACTATAAATCTTTTTATACAAAAGTTTTATACAATTTTTTAAAAAATTAGAGTTCATTTTCCTAGAATTATGTATTACTTCAAAAAAACAATTTTTAGTTACATGTCACAATTTTTGAATAAAAGAAAATATTCTTACTGTTTTTTCAATTATGTCTTTTTCTTTCTTTTGCTGAAGAATTGGCTGGAGTGGTGGGAATTCCTTTATACTTCGTTTACTGGTGATATCATGCCCAAGGTGGTAAGCAGCTACAATCTGAATTGGATTGAGGATGTCTCGCACATCTTTCTAAGGAAATTTAAAACCATATGAATTAAAAATAAAGAGAAGAATGTAAATTTAAAAAATAGCTCTTCCTTTCCTGCATAAGGCCAAACACAACACATGGAAGTAAAAAAATCTTACCTTTTAATCTAAAGTATTTTTAAAAAATGTGAATGTCTATATTTTTCACATTACAAAAACATTCATGTGTTTAGGAAAAAACCCAAAAATAGCATAAAAATAAAAAACTATAACCATCTAACAATATATAAAGGTCTACATTGAGCATATTTTCTTCCATGGTATTTTCTATGCATACTTTTTATAACATAGCATTTTTCATTATAAACTCATTGTAGATCATTTCAAAGTACTAATGAACATTTTATTCTATTTAACATTGCCCTCTAATAGAACTGTAGAAATATAATCTCTCAATTTATTCAAGTTTTCTTTTTAGATCTTTCAGTGTATTTTTATATAATTTGATTCATTTGCTTTCACATTTATTATGAAACATATCCTTTTATGGACCTTTCCAATTATCCTTTCTAACAGGTTATGGATGGTAATAGCAAAGTTGCTTGTTTTATATATTCAATATTTTATCCTATTCACTATACTGAATCTTTTTGCTAGTTTTATAACTTTTCTAGGATTATTGTTTTCACACTTCACAAGAAAAGAACTCTTGAATTTATTTATCAATTACACAGAAATTGTAGCCCATTCGGAATCCCTTATATTCTGTATGCATTCTCATAAATTTAGTTTCTTACTAATTTTTAGTTGTAATTGACAGCCTTTCTAGTGAGTAATGCGATGGGCCAGTTTTCTATTTATCTATAGATACCCCAGGATAGGAATATGGCTTAAACATCACCATCTAAAAGCAAAAGCAAAAGCAAACAAAAAGTAAAATAACTAAAAAACAAACAAAAAATTATTTTCAAAGCTCATAAATTAATAATCTCTAATGGATAATAAAACAACAACACCCTATTATACTAATTAATGTTGTACTAATTATATCTATAGTAACTTGACACCATCAATGAAAAGGAATAGGAAAAAAACCAAGACAGCGGCATAGGTAAACACAGAGATTGCTGCCTCGCACAACCACTTCAAGAATACAACTAAAAGAC